TTTCTTTCTGTAAAGGTTCTTGATTTAGCTCTGTGCTCGCACGGGGCGCAAGCTCTCTGGGGCTCTATTCGTGAGCATTTCAGAATAATGTTTTGCCCAGGGCTGATAGTCGGTTTTAAGAGAGAGCTTGCACACAGTTGTGATTCGCGACTTCTCTGTGTCCTGTGGTCGGAATTTTGGACGGAAGCGTTTCTAAACGTGCTGCATGCTCTTTTTCTTAGCAGTCACTAAACAAGTGTAGTTGCAACGTAACTGTGGTGGAGCTAATACCTTGAACACCCCCATGAAGCATTTGCAGGCTGATTCACAGGCAGAGCCCGTACAGCCTAGCACCCTACTCTGTGTCAGGCTGGTGAGGGTTATCCATGTTCCCATCCCGTATCCATTCCCTTAGCATGCCATGCTTTTTCTCTCTGATGCTGATTTTTTTTTTTTTTTTTTTTTTTTGTGGGGCAAGTGTGTTGGTATTCATGACTAGCAAACACATTCTTAGGTCTTCTGAGAACTCTGCAGTATTGAATAATACCCCAAATTATGATGACTAGTATGTGCTACAAGTATTTGTTGCCTACGTGCAGATATATATAAAAAATGTATATATTTGCAAATACATATATATCTATATCTATTATGTGTGTTTATATATTTTTTTTTTTCCTTTTAGGAATTTACAAGCTCAGGTTCAGCAAACTCAGAAACGAGCAAAGTTAGTGGTAGTTTGGAAACAAAATACAAATGGGTGGAATACGGATTGATGTTCACAGAGAAGTGGAACACCGACAACACGCTAGGCACTGAGATTACTCTTGAAGATCAGGTAATTTTTGGCTCAAAAGACGCGATTTACAAATTAACTTATGACAATCTCTCATTATAAATCCAACCACTGAATTTCTTTTCTGTTCAGCTTGCCCGTGGCCTGAAGCTGACCTTTGACTCCTCCTTCTCTCCTAACACTGGGTAAGAAGTGAGTAAGCTTAAGTGACAAAAAAAGGCACTTTTTATTTTCGTTTTCCAGAATACTGTCTTCCTTCACTTGTTCTGTCCCAAGACTGTTATTAATCAGCCTGTGTATGATGAAACCATGTACATCTGATTTAAATCTTAGTATTAACAATCCCTTTTTAATCCTGAGCTGCAGCAAGTAAGCTTTCAAATACAGTAACTTGAAAATTATAGTCAGACTTAGGAAGAAAAGGTTTTGTTTGCGCCCCTGTTGCTTATTTCTGGCCATGTCAGAGGATGAGCTACTGTCTGAATAAAAGCACTAAACAAGTCAGCTGTAATGCAAAGCTTAATAAGCTCTGGGAGCCAGTTGGCCACGGCTCTAATAGGTCGACACAGTAATTGGGCTCTTCTCCCGAGTGGAATTTATCATCTGAATTCTTGCTGGCCACAGCGTGCCTTGGTGGTGGATGAGTATTCCTGACACGGCGATTGGATGCCCCGTTTTATGTGGGCCAGAGGGATTAAGCAGCAGCTGTAGGTCTAGATGTCGGTTTATTTTTTCCCCCCTGATTATCGTTTTGCAAGCAGTGCTGCCAGGGAGTCAAAATATTCTGCACGTTGGCTTCCCGGAGCAGCACGCTGCTCTGCAGGCTGCCAGGGTTATAGTCCCCGGGGAAGTTTCACCCTGTCTTTTAGGTCTAGTGTCCTGCTTCCAGTCCAACCCTAATTCTAGATTAACAGGATATTTTTGTATTTGTTAACCAGAATAATCTCTAGTGTTTGTTGATAATTATTTCTTAAGTGGTAGGATTCTTAAAGAAACAAAAAAGAAGAAATCTGGTATGAGAATGACAAGTTACAGCTCGACAGCTATTTCTTAGGCGCTTCCCAGACACTGTAGTATCTGAGTTGTAACGATTGCCTTGTGGGAGGACTATTATAATTTGAATAAATGGAGTGAGATTCAGTCCTGGTGTGGCCTGGTTTAGGCTGACAGGGATGCATCATGTCGGACTGCGAGACACCTTCTTCCCATTCCCTATTGCTTACTGGCTGTGGTGAGTCTTCCAGCAGGGAACGTCGTTTTTAGGAGCGCTCCGTGCTAGCTTGCCTGTGTCCCTGTGGGTTTTGGTGGGAGAGGTACTGCTGACTTTTACAGAAGTTGCAGACAAGCTAATGCTGAGTGCTTTTGGCACTCCTCTGCTCTTCGTTTCTGATTTTGCAAAGCACAAGAAATTCCCGAATCTGAAATAATAATAATAAAAAAAGAGAGCAATCACCATGTGGGTCTGATACAGTGTTGAAACTGTTCTTGGAGACTGTTTTGCTAGCTGAAGGGCAAGGCTGATTTGAAATTTCACATTAGCCTGCCTTTGCCAGAAAGATTTCCGTAAAAGATTTGGTCAAGGACAGACGACACTTGCAAGGTAAAAAGAGAAGAAAAAAAAATCTTAAATAAGAGTAGCTGAATATATTGGACGTAACTCTCCTGCCTTGTGAAGGTCTGCACCCGTGATGTAAACTGACCCAAGGACACATGAGAAAACACTGTTCTGGCCAATAATAAAGCAACAAGTGACTCAGGAAAAGTTAAATTCTGCATTAACCTGGCAGCCTTTCTAATGGCTGCACCCAGTAAACTTCCTGAAGTGTCCTAAGGAGAAAACAGGCTGTCAGAGCCACCGAAGCAGCCTCCTTCCGTAGCAGCAGAGACTTTCCCTCAGGAAGCTGGAGACAAAGTAGGGATTTCTGGACATCTGTCCCAGCAAATTAAATTACCCAGTTCTCTAGGATTGTCTAAAAATTGTTCGTTTGGGACAGGCCAACTACTATTGACTTTCTGTGGCCAACCTGTAAACTGCTACAGTTCCCATTCCTTCCCTGCATCTACCAAACTTCCAAACCCATCAGATTAGTTGGCAATGAGGATTTGGTTTTGTCGCCTCCCGTCTGTCTCGCTGTGCTGCTGCTTTTCAGAACTCAGCTCAGAAGTGCTTAGTGGGGTGCCACACCGCGTTTTATTGCTCGATTGCAAATAATTCACCGTAGTTGAATTAGGGTGAGAGGTAAGAAGGTGACATAGCACGGGGCTCTCCAGGTAGGCATACTATGCCTTCAAGAACTATTACACTGAGTTAAAGTAACTGATTTGGTTGAATTGCTACCTGCAAGCATACCTTTTCAAAGATACAAGGTTCTTTCTTGTCTCTTTAGGAAGAAGAGTGCTAAAGTTAAGACAGGGTACAAGAGGGAACACATCAACATTGGCTGCGACATGGATTTTGATATTGCTGGTCCTTCAATACGTGGAGCCCTGGTGGTTGGCTACGAGGGATGGCTGGCAGGTTACCAAATGACTTTTGAGACAACGAAGTCTAGAGTAACCCAGAGCAACTTTGCTGTTGGCTATAAGACCGACGAGTTCCAGCTTCATACTAACGTGTAAGTATTGGCAGACGGGCATTAAAAAGGCATTTGAAAGGATTTTGCTGCTCACCAGAACACTGGAAGGGATGGAGCTTCAGCAACGGTGGAAGAGGGAGTCATGGATTTAAAATTACTTCCTCATTTAAGATGGCAAGCTGCATTTTTTTTAGCTGCACTGACTTTTCTTTGAATTATGAGGGTGAGGGAGTGCATGCTGGAAGGAACTGGAACTTGTTGAGTGTCTACCTTTCGAACAGATAAGGATTATTACAGTCTAGTAGTGGAATAATAAAACCAGTGGGTTATAAAAATATTCTTTGGAAGAGTTGAAATGAAAGCGATGCCTTCTTTTTGCACATGTCAAAATGAAACAAAATGGTGGTTTGATCTGTGGATGAAAGTGTTAATCATAGGATGAACAAGAACAGGCGAAAGGGAATGAATGGAAGATACAGGGATTGGGTTTGTTGTAGCACTGGGAGGGATATGGTGTAAAAGTTCTGTTTAGTATCATAACTCCTAATAACCTATTCACGCAAGCATTTGTCTGTTCTGAACGCATGAACAGTGGGAAACCAGGACCAAATTCCATGAAAACCTTAATTTCTCTGTCTCCTGTTCCCCTTAAAAAAAGCAATTTATGCCTTTGGGGAAGGCAGATTTTTTAAGATTAGGCAATCCCTAATCCATTCCCCCAGCCCCCCTTTTCCCATTCCCTGGGGTAATTGGATATTTTGCGTGTAGCAGAGTTATTGCAGGCTGTTCCCGTTTGGGGGCTGAACAACTGTTCTGCCTTCCTGGAGCTGCTTCTTCAAAGGCTTTCTCTTCTGTTTCATGCTGTTTTGCAGCGATCTGGTTCAGGAAGCTCTCGCTGCCTGACAGAACAATTGAACCCTCACAGCTCAGAGAGTACGTTTGGAGGATTGCCAAAGCACAAAAATGTGGGCAGAAAACTTGCATCAAAGCAATGTGTGGGGTCCCCCTCCACTCAGGAGTTATTCCTTCAAGTGCAATGACTTTCAACTTCGTTATACCGTAGCAGTTCTAAACATTGTATTATTGGCTTTTGCTATAAAATGCCCTAATTATTATTACTCTTAATGAAAGCAATGGCAGAAAATAACTTTATAACAGCAACAGGGGCTCAGATCTTACTGTACTCTTTCCTGGATTCCTGGGGGTCTGTTTCTTAGGTTGCTGTTGCTGTACGTGGATGATAAATGATCTTGAGGAGGACGCCTAGTTGGTTTATTTAATATTCATGCTCTACCAATTGACGGGCAAAACCATAAATGTGTGATATGAATAGAAATCTCATTTATTGATAATAATAGATTAGGTATTCCATAGAATCATAGAGTCGTTCAGATTGGAAAAGACCTCTAAGATCATTGAGTCCAGCTATCAACCTAACACTGCCATTAATTTAATAAATCATTTGAGGTGTCAGCTTTGAAACATGTCAGAGTTTTTATATAATCCCAGAAACAGCAGTGTGTGGAACTCCCCTCACTAGCCTGCTCGGCCGTGCTATCTCGACAGTTGGGTGGCTCACAGGGATGCTGCAGCAGAGCTGATAATTTAACGAGGTGGGGCTTGAAACATCATCTGTGTTCCCGGCGTTACACAGACCAGCTGGGGACCTTCCTTAACGGTGCCTTAATATATTAATTTTCATATGGGAATGGTGGTTTTTTTTATCTACATTTGAAAAGTGCTATTATTACTATTTGAATTAAAAGGAGGTTGGACTTCTTTTTTTTTAAACCATAACTAAAGGGAGATAGGGCTGGATGATCTCTAGTTTTAAATATGACTTTCCTCATTTTTTAAGCATAGCTCAGCCCCCCCGCTCCCCCCCCAGTGTTGCAGGTCAAGCCAGAGCTGTGTGGGAACCTTGCACAAAATCTGCCTGTGTAACCAGCTCTCCTCAGTCCTTTTTAACCCCTCCTTTTCTTGAGAGCCAAGCACACGCAGTTATATGTGAGCTTCAGTCTTATCTGAAGTAAGTATTTTCTGGAAGAACAGCTCTAACAATTTGAAAGGCTGCTGCTATTGCTTGGACTTTTAAATAGGCGTATTGCTACTGCCTGTGCAACTGCTAGGAACTAAGGAACATCAGGCCAAAGGGGTAAGAGTGGAGAGATTATAAATCTGCCCCTGTTTTTAAGGTTTGGAATACTCTAGTAATTGGAAGCAGATTATTTCATAGCTTAGCAATAATCATAAGGATTTTATTTGCAGAGCTCTTCCTGTGGTTTAGAGCCCGTCTTGTGCAATATGTTTGTATCCTCTTTTAAGAAAATGAGCGAAAATGGAAATCCAGATGCTCACTGGTTTGCAAGGAGTGCAAGGCTTTTAGAAGTCTCTTGCTCTTGTGATCTGCATGCTCTAACGTTTTGTGTTTTATTTACCACACTTTATTCCCTGCGTGATGTTGGTGCCAGTAGTAATTGGAAGTCGTGCTACTCAGGAGCGGTGGTGGAAGGTGGTCATCATGCCGCTGTTGGCCAGCGCACTCTGCAAAATAAAATGAGTTTCATTTCAGTTCCTAGCAGAGAGAGATCTATAGCACAGGGGTACCATAAGGACTATTGCAAATGGTATTCATTTGCAAAAGCCGATAGACTTGGGCATTACATTGGCATCTTCACTTCTGGTACACTCCATCTGTGTCCGAGAACAGCACGCTGACGAGGCGGCGTTAGGATGACTGCTCGGGCTCGGTGCTTGGGGTACAGCCCTTCCAGGGGACGCACGCCACGGAAAAGAATTGTATTAGAGATACGCAGGGCAGAACAAATCTCTTGACTACAAAGACTGCCATCTAGAGAGAAGGGAAATTAGAAGCTGTCATCATTGGTCTGTTTTTGATAGTTTGTCATGGCTTTTTTTTCAGTTTCCAAAGTTGTTTGTTGAAAAACAGTAACCATCAATGAATTTAAGCATTTAAAACTGACTTCATAACCCATCTGGCCTAATGTCTCTATCTTAGTTGTTGCAGGGCTATTGAATGAGGTGCAAGTGACTGTTCTGCACATACAGATCTTACTGGAAAGAAAGATGATGATTGTTTTGGGGTGCAGTTTAAAACTAGACTAATGCATTCCTTCCAGGAATGATGGAACGGAATTTGGAGGCTCCATTTACCAGAAGGTGAATGACAAACTGGAAACTGCCGTGAATCTTGCTTGGACAGCCGGTAATAGCAACACTCGCTTTGGAATCGCAGCCAAGTATCAGATTGACCCGGACGCCTCTTTTTCTGTGAGTGCTATGCATGTACATTTGTAAGCAGTTGGACCTAGGCCCGTGTAACGGAGGTGGGAAGCCACCTTCAGGCAGCGCAGCCCGGTTCCGCTGTGGTTCCATGGTGTGCAGTTGGCACCCACGTCGGTTTGCCTTGGTTTTGGCAGCACAGGAGCGTGACTATTGGATTTCCCTTCAAAGTGACACAGAATGTTTTATCCTATCATTGGGCACTGTTCTGAGGCTTTGAGGCAAAATTAACTGTAGATTATTATTTTTTTTTCCTTTGTGATTTAAAAGATGAAATCCTTTACCTGCTTAAAAGGTGTTATTTCGTTTTCAAGTAGGAAAGACTTTGAAGAAAGATACTGAATTATTTACATACAGTGTTTTTTCCCTTTAAGGCTAAAGTGAACAACTCCAGTCTGATTGGATTAGGATACACTCAGACTTTAAAGCCAGGTAAGTCCACGCAGAAGCAATTCAGACATCACTAAGTGATATTTTAGTCTGGAAATATCAAAGAGGTTTTTTTGTGACAAAGTGTGAATCGTTTTGTAACGCGGCTGTTCCACTTGGCAACCCAGTGATGAGGGTGTCCAGGGGCCGCTCCGTTAATTTAGGATGACTGTTGCAAGCAGGATTATTAGAGACCACCATCCACTGACCAGTCAGCTACTCTTTTATGTTGATACAAAATATGTCCATGATGAGGTGTTTCACAGATAAGTAAAGGCGAGTTTAGTGCTTGCAGAGGCTTCCTGTTACTGAGTTTATTTTGCTTGAAAACGCGACTTTCTCAAGGTGCCCTGGTCCAGGAAGAGGACAATCTTACTGCTGTGAAATTGGTTCTAATGTAGTCCAATAAATCTGCTGCCAGAATAGCAAGCAGACTGACATGAGATATTGCGGCAGACAGGGCTTAGGCCTTTTCATACCTCGGTTTTAAAGTGGTTTGGAAAGTTGAGTATGTGTCAAGGTCCCAATTTTTCATAATGCTGGACTCCAAAATTAGATTAATCAGTAGACCAGCAGCAGTGAACTGACTCAAGAGCTTTAATTACTTGGAGTGATGAAAAGCAGAATCTATCACCGTGTTTTATTATAACTTCCATAATTCAGAAAGATTTCATATCTGCAAATTGCTTTAAAATGCGCAGTCCTTACAAGGCTGGCCACCAAATTACGTTAACCTAGCTACCCGATGAATTCAAGCCGCAACACGGACGCTGCACTCGCTGAACATAAAGCTCCTTCCAAGCTTTAACACTTGGGTCTTTTCTCGCTTTTCCCTATTCCCCAGGTATCAAACTGACATTGTCAGCTTTGTTGGATGGCAAGAACGTCAACGCAGGTGGTCACAAACTTGGTCTAGGATTGGAATTCGAGGCATAAGGAGTGATTCTACAATCGCTAATCTGCAAATACAGCATAGCTACCTTCAGAATATAGTGTACCTTTCAATGTTTTATGTCTGGGATGCAAGTATTGCTACGTATGTCCTGCTAGTCCTGGTTAAAGACAGCTAAGCTTTAAAAATGATGTTGTTAAAGAAATGGAGACAAAAGCATAAAAAAAACCCCAAACAACTTAATTCCAGGCTTTTTTTTTTTTTTTTTTAATGTTATTGCCCATCACATCTGTCAGCTGCCACGTGATAGGAAGGTATTGATTACCTTTACTAACGTATCGACTGCACAAGGAATCTGTGAACGTGGTGTAAAAACAGAGACCTTCAGAATCACAGACCACTACGTTGTACTGTTCATTCCGTAAGCAAAATGTTCCGACACTTAAGCTTTCAATTCACAATGGAACGTGCAAACTTGTCTGAAAAAGGGATTTATTTTTTTTTTTTAAAGAATTTTTTTTTAGCTAGGCGTTTCATGAATGGTTTGTTTTTTCTTTGGTTATCTTACACCTGCAGCTGTCTCAGAATGCTTTAGGTTGTCCACCTTGCGTAGGTCTGTTGCGGAGGAGGTTCGATGTGACTCGGCCAATACTACCCGTCCTGTGTTGTGGTTCCTTTCCCTTGCACTGACTTGGAAAGCTTGTAAGATGGGGCCATAATCAGGGAAGAGTCTTTGTAACTGCAGTCACATAGTTGCATCACTAAATTGAAAATGGACTTGTGTTTTATTACCACTTTTTTTTAGCAACTAAATGGGTACATTTTTAGAGAGTCTTCCATTTTGTGTGGACTAGACCCCAAAATGCTGTACTTGACACTACTAAAAATGGATAAAAAAAAAAACCAAACCCAACTTGAATAAAATATTGAAATGTCACCTTTTACTCTGTCTTTAAATTGTTTTCGCAATTAATAGAACGTTAATTCTTGGCTCCAGAAGCAGACTGGCAACATCTTCGAGCACGTTTTATACCACACAAACAAAAAGTAGATTTAAGTTCCAGACGTGGCCATGTTCCTAGTGCTCGCTAAGCTCTGGTAACTGCACGGATATATGCATGTTTAGCTCATGGAGAAAATGAGGTGACTTATTTATCTTTCTTTCATTGCAGAATTCACTAGGTGGAATTACCTTCCTATAAACAAAACATGAACAGTTGTCCGTAGGGATAAAAGTTCAGTGGCTTTTCATTAAAACTTGGTATTTTTTCATATGTAAGCGGTCGCCGTGGGTGGTGTGCAGAGGGCAAGAGGCACGGGAGGATGTGCCTGATGAGGCAATGGCATTACAACACAGCGAGGCGGGTAGATCCGCCTCAGCAGCAGCCTGCAGATTGCGCAGTGCCCGCTGCCTGCCCTCTTACCACAGGCTATTCCCGAGCATTTCCTAGTGTGTCTTCTCAGGCATTTAACACTTGTGGGGGAATTAGTTCTTTTCTAGATTTCACCAAAGAAATCGCATGCAACCAGCTCGCAGTAACTTGGCAGATGCTCAAAATTAATTTATGTTGCTGTATGCTGTGACGTGCGGAAAATGGACTCCACAATCTGTAAGATTGTAAAGTAGGTATGTTTATTCAGCGCTGGGCAGGACCGGGGGGGGAGTCCCACCAAAGTCATGGGCACGTGTGTGGTAGCTTGCCTTGAAGTTATACTACAAAGTGTTACATATGCAGAAGATTCCCAAATACGCCTATACATATGCATGACTTGTCCCCACTTCGTATTAAAGTTAGCCCCAAGAAGTAGTTTTCCATAAACTCCTCCCGACTGCGCTTGCGCAGTGTCTTCTGGTGGGGGTCGTGGGGGATGAAGGCTGATGACTCCTCTTCGTCACCGCCAGTAACCCCTTATTCTTGCGCAGACTCAGTTGCTCCTTGGCTCTTGTCCGAACTACAGGGTCGGTTTTAGCTGGTTCTCAAGGCAACTTCTCGGTTCTTATCGAGAACTTATAAAATAGACAATAGTGAGCACGGTTTTAAGCAACATCTTCTCTACTAGGATCCCCTTTTCAGCTGTGCACGGCTTGTGTTCTGTGTCCCCTTGGGGCTGCTTTTGGGCCTTTGGGCTCCTTCTTCTTGTTTTTTTTCACGCTTGAGGCATAGAATCATAGAATGTTTTGGGTTGGAAGGGACCCCCAGAGGTCCCCCAGCCCAACCCCCCCGCAGGAACAGAGACACCGCTAACCACATCAGGTTGCTCACAGCCCCGTCCAACCTGGCCTTGAATGTTCCCAGGGATGAGGCCTCCACCCCCTCTCTGGGCAACCTGTTCCAGTGTTTCACCACCCTCACTGTAATCTGCGTTTTGGAATTTGTTCTCCTATGATCAGCTTCAAGGCTTCCCTCAGGGCTCGGGGTGAGAACACGAACGCGTTTTTCCATCGATCTATCCAATTCTGCACGAGGTTCGTGAGCGGCGCGGTGCAAAGCCCGCTCGCGCACGCGGACGCCGATGAACAGCACCCCCGGGCCGCGGCTTTGTGTGGGGGCCCAACCCCTAACCGCTGTCCGAAGGGAGGGGAGGGAAAACCCCCGCTGTCTGCCACGGG